TGTCACGTGATGATTTGCCTTTAAAGCCTTGGCCGCAATTTTGTTCGACCTCGGCCTCGGCCTATGCTTGAGGCCGAGATGATCATGCCTTGGCATTTCCTCTTTTAATTTTAAAGAAAGCGAAATGCCCTAGCGAAACGCTGCGTTTCAGCCTCTGCGAACAAGTGCCAGGGCCGAGAGAAAGGGCTCCTTCGGCCAGCTCATGGCCGTGATTTATCAGGCACAAACAGAGGTGTTCTAGGTTTCTTCTTTCCTTAGTCCATGAAAATATTGGCGAACTCAGAATAGTACAAAAGAGTGTTAACCTATTTGTTACAATATTTTACCGATCACAAGTTAACTTCTAAAATATCTCAGTCTAACCCATTATTTCACATTAAATGGGTTGCAACAGGTGTAATAAACCACAAACAGATAAATAAATTGGAAAAAATTGTAACATGTTTTCATAAAATAAACAATTTAAGTGGAGACATTGTAACAGCAGACATTTTAGTCATGGGCTATGTCAGGCAGTGGCACTTTTTCAAGCCATCAGACAAATTGTAAAGCATGAGAATTATCAATCAAGCCTAATAATACTGAAGGAAAACCATTACCTATCAATACAAGATTTATGAAAATCACAAAGTAACAAAATTGCACTACATGTCTGACCTTTCTTGTTTATTTGGAAATAGTGAAAAGATATTAATATAAGGAAAGAAAGGACAACTTTTGTGACTACAAATAGATGCATGTGTCTAAATCTTTTTGCAATGATCGTGCCTTACAAAAACAGAGTTCTTTTTCTCTAAACAAAAATATCTTAAAACAAAGGAAAGAAGGAAATGGAATAACAATTTCACAGCAATCTTTTAAAGAAACAATGAGATTGACAATGATTATGGTTCCAAAACAATACCAGGCATTAAATTAACACATAAATGTTGAGAAAAATACGAAGAGCAGAGAGAGAGAGAGAGAGAGGGATCGTAAATAATACTTCAGCCAAGAATAATCTCAACTCCTACACAAATCACAAGCAGATAAAGAAAAATGATATCAACATATATTCCTATTAAATTACAGTAACATATCAATAAAACACAAAAAAAAAATCAATATAACAGCAATACCATAGCAATACAAAAGCAATACCACTACAATACAACCACAATAAAATCACAATACGATTGCAAATAGCAAATCAACAATGCTACCTCACTATGATATAATCATAACAAGTTCATAGAAAATCCCAATACCAATTGCAAGAATCAATCGACAAAGAACAAACACATTTGTTGTTTCAGACAAACAAAATCAATCCCAATACTTCACTTTCTACACAAAATACAGACGAAATCAATCACAATTCCAATTTCAGTAATCAAATTCAATTTAACATCAAAACTTACATTTTCCCAACAATTCATTTTCTGTAGAAGCTGTTCTTGAAGAGGGCATGTAAACCCTAACTTCAAAACCCCCCAAAATTGGACCAAAATGCTCAAACAATGGCCACCTAATGCCAAGACATGCTCTCATATTCAGAAAAGATGGATTTGTTTAGGTTGCAGAAGGGATTCGAAGAGAGATGAAGTTGGGGTTTGGATTTGGATTTGGGTAGAGAAGAAAACGGAGAGTAAGGGGATGAACTGGGTTTTGAGGGCAAAGCTGTGGGTTTTGTAGGTTGTTCTTGATCTTCTTCGTGAGAAGAGGCGTAGTTAGCTAGAGAGAGAGAGAGAGAGAGAGAGAGAGAGAGAAACCAAAAACTGACCAAAAGTGTTATCTGGCCAATAAGTGGGCAATAAGTATGTATTTATAGGTTATATTTGCAAAATTTGTGGGAAGAGGTGGTATTTTCAGTTAAAATTATAAAAAGGGTGGCATTTAGAGCTATTTCCCAAGAATTTAAAGGTTGTTAGGGATTCATTGTGGGTCTTAATTCATACTGATGCTAAGAATATAAATCTGTTCACCCTTTGACATACTGATGGCTAGATCGACATCAACTCGTGGCAAAGTTGGCCCCACGTTTTGGGCCAAATATCCAAAGATTCAATATCTAGCTTTCTTTTCTGTTGTTACATTTAGATATTGAGAGAGAGAGAGATTTTCTTTTCTGTTGTTACATTTACAAACGATATTGAGAGAGGGAAAATTAAATCCGTCTAATACGAGGGTAAATGTTCATAATGACTTGAACTATAAACTCTTGCAAATTCCAATTTTGGACTTTTTAGCCAACGGTTATTTGGTACAACCATATTTGATTTCCTCCAGCAAAATAGAGATCTCAAATTCAAATGTCGTAAATGACAATTGCCGAATAAAAGATTATTATAAAAAATACTCATGAGCTTTTCTCCGGAAGGTCAAATCCATGAAAAATCTGAGGGCCCGATTAAATATATTCGTTTGGGTTCAATAACGAAGTGATCATTGGGCCATTAGCTTTGACCTTTTTGCCATTACAATTTCAATTTGCATTGTTTGACGGGTTGGATGCAGAGGGTAATTTGGTCTTTAAATTGACTTTAAAATTACAATATTTAAGTTGCTGGGTTCTACAAATGATGAGCCTGAAATTGCCTCAACAATTGGAGAGACTGATAATAGAGATTGAGATCAATGCCATCAACATTCCTACCCACACGTGCCTGCAAGACTGCCTGAAAAAAGAGCAAGAACAATTGAGCTCATTGCTCTAACATAATTAACATAACATTCATGTGTTGGGATGAAGCCCGGCACTGAAAATCATCAGGTGGATGTAATTTGCCACTTACCTCATTATCGGGTTGAATAAGCAGCTCGCCGATGAACTGGTAGATGGATCCGACTCGAAAGCTAAGCTCCCTGAGGTGTTGGGTGTTGATTTTTAAGCTGTCTCTTCCATCAATAATTGTGGCAATGGCTGTCTCTACAGAATACTCTTGTAACCTGAGAAAGAAACAAGAGATACTAATGACTAAGCTTCTTAATGATATTGGGGAATAAATATGAGAAATGCAATTAAATTCAATGAAGCGAAGCAATCATCCAGCTACCAATTATTTGAATCACTTGACCTATTCCCAATTATTTTTTTGTAGTAGTGACTTGTTTCCAATCATTACACTCACTCCATCCACATCATGCTACCAATGTGCCTCAATGCCACCAACTGGGGATGCCACATTTGCCTCCAGAAGATCTTTTTGGCCAGTTCTGCATCCACTCCAACACTATCATACCATGATCATGATATTCTCAATGAACCAAAACCAGACTAGAATCGTTTCGAGAAATACTGCGACAGAACCCGAAACGAAATGCTGAAATTATCACATCTCCAATGTCTGTATCAGCAATTCCACCTCTAGTTCATCTTTCTTTCTACCACTCGTCTCCATCAGTTTATTATACCAACACTGTCACCAAGACCAACAAAGCCAGCCTAAAACTATAAACTACTTGTACCCTACTCAGCCAATCTACAAATATAGTTAAGAGAACCTTCCAAGTTAAAAACTATGAAAATGTAAGAATTGATTCAGGGAGGATATTCGTAACTGAAAAGTAAGTAAAAGTAGAAGAAGAAACACTGGATATTTTATATAATGCAATTGAATGAAACCACTAAAGCATTGAAAGGGCACAAGTCTTACTTTCCAGTTACTCTCAATGAAGCCCCTTGCTTGAAATAAGAGGAAGATGGATGTAGGTCTTGCAATGAAACCAATGCCCCAGATTTTATTTCAGAAGACGTCATCAGGTAAACTCTCACGAGTCACACACCCTAAACCCTAGCATCCAAATCTCTCCTGGAATTTGAGGAATGCATCTGCATGCAATTGATTACCAAAAAGTACTAAAATGAATGTGTCTAGTGCAATCTCAGTCACACAGAGAGATTTATTACAATAAATTAGTGAGGCAGTGTTTTGAAACCCAGTAAGGACCTGCCATTTGAACTAGGCCTGGGCTCGCTCTGGTTTGGTTCGGTGTTGAGCCTCCACCGAGCGTCGAACCCAAGGCCACTGTTTGTCAATTTCTGAGACCGCACGCCGGACCGAAGCTCCTGAAACCGATGTGTTCGGCGAGCACTGACAGAGAGGAGAAGAAGATAGGACGGCGAGGTACGGCTGCGAGGCGTCGAGGTTTTTCCAGATCTGAGACAGAGAATGAGATGCAGAGAGGAAAAGAAGAAGATAGAGGAGAAGAAGGAAAGAAGAAGAAGGAGAAGGTGAGTCGTAAGAAGGAGAGAGGGATAAGAAGAAGAAGAAGAAGTGGGGAGAAGCGACTGGAATTTTAAATTTTTTTTTTTTTAAAAAAAAAAAAAAGCTTAATTACTATTTTACCCCTGGACGGATGGTTTCTCACTTTAGCACTTTTGTTCATTTTCGTCCACAAAACTGTTAAATGTGCTGACGTGACGTAACATGGGCATTTAGTATGCAATTGAATTTGTAACAATGTAGGAACAGTGCAGGATTGATATTAAGTTATAAACCATAGTTCCAGTACGTTAAATCGATTTTTCTTTTCTTTTCAAAGAAAAATGTAAGAATTGTTAGTATTGCTAGTTTTGTAATTGAATTTCTTACAAGAAATCCTCCGTTTTTTCATCTTCAGATGGTGAAGAAGGAAAGAACAGTGATGGTGGACTTGTTGCTTTGTATGGGAAAATCCAAAAGACTATAAGTGCCTTACCTCGAGAGGACAAGAATTGTATCACTGTTATGATTGATGATATCTATCTGATGGAGGTGGCTGCTAAGGGATGTACAAATTGTCAAAACATAGAGAATATTGAGAGGAGAGAGTGGAAAGTGTAGAGAGAATGAGAGTTGTAGAATATTTTCTGATTTTTCACTTATGTTTCATTACTTACAATCAACACATATATATACAAGTAATCAAGCCCACAATGTTAGGCAAGCCCCCAAAGTTAGGCAACTTGGAATTCCCAAGGTCAAGCCTACAAACATTGTAGGCTACCAAACATTGTAGGCTACCAACCTAGTCAAGCCTCCAAACATTGTAGGCTCCCAACTATTGTAGGTGCCAAACTACTCCTTATTAATTGACTATTGCTAACACTCCCCCTCAAGTTGGTGCATAGATATCACCAATGCCCAACTTGATCAGTGAGTTGTGGAATACTCTGCTAGAAACTGCTTTTGTCAAAATATCTGCCAGCTGGTCTTCGGACTTGACAAACGGAAGTTGAATTTCTTTATTTTCAACTTTCTCTTTAATGAAGTGTCGATCCACTTCAACATGTTTGGTGCGATCATGTTGAACTGGATTGTGTGCAATGGATATTGCAGCCTTGTTATCACACTGTAGATGCATTCCTAATGTAGGTGCATATCCAATCTCTGTAAGCAATTTTCTCAACCAAAGAAGTTCGCAAATTCCTTTGGTCATTCCTCTGAATTCCGCTTCTGCACTAGACAAAGCAACAACATTCTGTTTCTTGCTCCTCCAAGTAACCAAGTTACCTCCCACAAATGTGAAGTACCCTGATGTTGATCGTCTATCAGTGACATTCCCTGCCCAATCTGCATCTGTATAGCCACTGATATTCAGATGACCATTCTTAGAGAACATAAGTCCTTTTCCTGGTGCGGACTTCAAATATTTAAGAATCCGAAGAACCGCATCCATATGATCTTCACTTGGACAATGCATAAACCGACTAGCAACACTTACAGCATACGCGATGTCGGGTCGGGTATGGGATAGGTAGATCAGTCGTCCCACCAATCTTTGATATCTTTCTTTGTTAGTGGGTACTTGATTGGGATATTCCCCAAGGCGGTGATTCTGAACAATTGGAGTGGCCACAGGTTTGCAATCTAACATTCCAGTTTCTGCCAATAAATCTAGAACATACTTTCTTTGTGAGAGGAATATGCCTCGCTTTGATCGAGCAACTTCAATGCCCAAGAAGTACTTGAGTCCACCAAGATTTTTCATTTCAAACTCCTTTGCCAAACATTTTTGTAGTTGAGAAATTTCCTGCATATCATTCCCAGTAATAATCATATCATCGACATAAATGATTAGAGCCGTTACCTTTCCTCCCTTGTGTTTTAAGAACAGAGTATGGTCAGAATTACTCTGCTTAAAACCATAAGTCTTCATTGCCACGGTAAAACGCCCAAACCATGCTCGGGGAGACTGTTTCAATCCATATAATGCCTTTCGCAATCTGCACACCACATTAGCAGGAGTAGATGTAACGTATCCTGGTGGGATATCCATGTAGACTTCTTCTGTGAGTTCTCCATGAAGAAAGGCATTCTTCACATCAAATTGGTGGAGAGGCCAATCGAGATTTGCTGCAATAGACAATAGCACACGAACGGTGTTAAGTTTTGCAACTGGGGCAAATGTTTCTTCATAGTCAATACCATATGTCTGCGTGTATCCCTTTGCCACAAGTCGTGCTTTGTATCGTTCAATTGACCCATCAGCATTGTATTTCAAAGTGTAAACCCATCTGCATCCGACAGTCCGTTTTCCTTGAGGTAAATTCTCCAGTGTCCATGTGTGATTTTTCTCCAGAGCATGCATCTCCTCCCTCATTGCTTGAACCCATTTTGGATCCTTCAATGCCTCACTCACTTTGGTTGGAATATGAATTGCGGATAACTGGTGTACAAAGCCTTGGAGGGGTGCAGATAATTTTTCAGCAGAAACATAGTTTGCTATTGGATACTTTGATGCTTTGCCATTATCCGGTGAATACCGAATTGGCGGTTTTCCACGATTCTGTCTATCAGGTAATTTATAACTAACAGTTTCATCAACTAAAACAGTAGATGTAGTAGAATCACGTACCTCAGGAGTATTCTCGGGAGATTGATCAGCTGGTACTGAGATGTGGTGGTCTCATGGATGATGCCATGTATCTGAAAGTAAGTCTGAAAATCATGGTTGATATATTCACCCCCATTGTCAGAACGAAGGACTTGAATCTTGGTAGAGAATTGAGTTTCAATTTGCTTGTGAAATGACTGGAATATAGGGAACACATCAGTTTTATTTTTCATCATGAAGAGCCAAGTCATGCGGGTACAATCATCTACAAAGGTGATAAACCACCGGAAGCCAGAAGTTGTAGAGATAGGTGAAGGACCCCAAACATCAGAATGTATCAAAGCAAATGGAGCAACACTTTTATTTGTACTTGATGGATAAGAGACTCTGTGACTCTTGGCTAAGATACAAGTATCACATTGGAAATCAGTGGTACATGGCTCTCTCTTCACAAAGAATTAGTCTTTTTTTTTTTTTTGGTCAGAAGAATTAGTCTTTTTAAAGTGAGTTCCATAATTTTATCTATAGCTGCTAATATCCGTGTTAATTTACATTTCATTTTTGTTATGAATTATTATTAGTTCTCGTGGTTTCATGTTTATCAGATGAAATGTTCAGATAAGCATAAATGAAAATATCTGATATTTGGATGTGTTTTTGAAACAGGGTTGCAACTTAGTTGTGCAAAGGGACAATAACAGATTCTTTTTCTTTGACGTGCTTGTGGATTGCCCAGGTGAGAAAATCAGGTATAAGACTTGCTACTATTGGCTATCAAAGTAGAAAAGCTAGATACTTGCTCAGTATGCAATTGAATTTGTAACAATGTAGGAATCAGTGCAGGATTGATATTAAGTTATAAACCATAGTTCCAGTTCGTTAAATCGATTTTTTTTTTTAATTTTCAAAGAAAAATGTAAGAATTGTTAGTATTGCTAGTTTTGTAATTGAATTTCTTACAAGAAATCCTCCGTTTTTTCATCTTCAGATGGTGAAGAAGGAAAAAACAGTGATGGTGGACTTGTTGCTTTGTATGGGAAAATCCAAAAGACTATAAGTGCCTTACCTCAAGAGAACAAGAACTGTATCACTGTTATGATTGATGATATCTCTCTGATGGAGGTGGCTGCTAAGGGATCTACAAATCTTGTTTTAGACTTTCTTCATTACTGCCACACTTTAGTATCAGAATTTGTAAGACATCAGTGGCAACTGTCCGTCATTTTCTCCAGTTTTCATACCATATTCCTTTTTCTTCAGTTATTCATCTCGTGTACCTTTTCTTATTGCAGGGTTAATGTTCCTTAGTCATGCTCAATCATGACGATATATATTCAGACACGGTGAGGCCCTCCCTTATTTTACAGATGGAGTATCTAGCAGACATTCTGATAAGAGCAGAACCATTGGCCACTGGTTTGGCATCAGATGTGCATGGGCAGGTATTTGCTGGAACACATTTTGTCACTTCACCAGATTGAATTTTCTGTAAAATAGCTTCTCTAATATGGAAAAAGCAAGAGTCTATTTCCTTTCATTTGAACAGTCCTATAGTGAGTTCACTGGTTTTCACCCATGTTTTTTTCATTTGATGCATCTCTTCACCAAGATAGATTGCTAGAAACTAGAAAGTATGTCAAATCATTCAGGTATGGTCCCCTCTCGTCATTTGTGGTTACTTACTTTTTGAGTCTTGGTTGTTATGGAAATGAATAATATGCTACTTAAAACTTTTAACATATGCATATGCTCTGCTGATCCTCTGGTTGATATTTAGTTTGTTTTTTTTTCGAGTGTTATGCTCATACATATGATAGTTGCTTTGTGTCATGGTCCTTTTTCTGGTTTTCTTGTTCTCTTCTCTTTTACCTGTCGTATCTTCTCCGCCGAGTCCACTAGATCACAATCCTGTGTAAGCAATTGAAAAATTGTGAGAACTATTTCCATTAGTATTGCTTGCTGGCTTGCTGCTGGTGACCTGCCAATTACGCTTGTAGCAAGTGTACTTTTCCTGTCTAGTATTACTTCCCAAAAGTCTCATCTTAATGGTTTTGATATCCATGCAATTGAACGAGATTACGAAAGTTATGATCCTCATTGTTCTTGTTGGTTGCAGTTGACAGTCCTGAACAGTGGGAAGGAGAGATCAAGAAACAAGCTGTCTAATTTCCAATTCAAAGTAAAGGAAAACAGTGTCGAATATTTCTATCCTGGAAGCAGGACTTGAAGACCATTTATGCTTGAGGAATTTCAAATTGTGGGTGAACATAGCAATTGAGGCTCCCAAGTAATGAGGAAGAGTTTACCTGCTCACTAGGGTTCTGTACTATTGTGGAGACTCTTGTCCCTTCGTAATGATACTCGGAGATCCAACTACAAGAAGACAAGTAGTTTGATACAATATTGCTTTGTTACT